TTACCGATTGAAAACAAGAACAACACTCGTATTCAAGCATGAGAGTTAATTCATCTATCATAGTTAACGCGTTTCTGATGCGCGATCAGAACATCATCGGTAGGAAATTAGGTAGTCGCATGAATTGGTCTAGAGGAAAAGCATAAGTAGTTTATACATCGAGCATTAAGTTGTCAACACAACAACATGTATGTTTAACAACTTATGCCAGTAGAATATGAATTACGATAGTCCGCACATTTTTGTTATTGTTCCATGTGGCAACCGCATCTTCTCGTCTCGTACGTCGAGATGGCATCATACAGTCTTTAACCTGTATTAAGGATCGTAATTAAATCTCATAATTTGTCGACCTATCGAAAGCGATATCGATAAAAATTCGCCTCGACATCATCCTGGACAGTCTAGAACTTGATTTTTAATCGAAATACTTGGCGCCGGTAATTCTTTCACTATACAGATAGCACCATTTTCGACACAGATTGGCTGTACGACCTAAACTGAAGTGTAGTGGCAGATGAGCGTAAGACAAATATCAACGCTTAAGTTACATTATTACACTTTTGAATCAAAAACGATGTGATTATCCGTCTTAAATGTACGCAACAAGTCTTCTTGATTTACTTACATTAACATAGTGGAATTAGACATGCGCACGGCCCAGCTTTATGCATGACTAAACCACCACATTCGCTTAATCTCCTTAGCTTTTTCGCGTCTACAAACAACACATTTTTGTACAAATCAAACGACCGCTTCTGGTAGATAATACGTCGTAACTTGTCACACTCGGGTAAAATTCTAATGCAAAACTTCTATTTTCAGATGCAATCTCAAAGAGGTGACGTATGAATGCTTAGAACAATAGTACTTGTACATAGTCTCATAAAATGCTATCCGTTCATGTACGCAACCATCCCCATTGACAAGTTTGTATAAAGTCTTTAAAAGAAACGCTATGTACTTCTCTTTCACCGCATTTCATTCTACAAATGGCTGTTTTTTTGTCGGCGCCTGTACAAACGCCGGACACAAATGACCGATTGACGTAAAATGATGGCAGCTTATTAAGAGACAATGTACAAGTACTCTTGTTCTAAGCATTCACGCGTCACGTCTTTGAGATTGCATCAAATAAAAGAAATCTGGTGTTAGAAATTCTGCAACTAATCACTGCGTTTTTATACCAGACTCTGTCGTTTGATTTGTACAAAAATATGTTGTTTGTTGACGCGAAGAAGCTGAGGAGATTAAGGCAATGTGGTGGTTGAGGCATGCTTAAAGCTGTACCGTGTGCGTGTCTACTTCCAAAAGATCAATGTTAGTAAAACAATGAAACTTGCCCCGTCCATTCAGATAGGATACCCACAAATATTGTAGCAAGTGGCGCAGTTGGTGGTACCACCGATATGGGTATCGAATGGATGGATTTGAATGCAAAATTAACTATTTATGGCAGCTACAACAAACAGAGATGTCTTAGTCAAGTTGGAGGAGCTGCCGTCACAGCAGTCGAGTCTACGACTACGACGAATGACAACAGCTACTCCCCCTTTTTTTAAAAGCGCTCATACGATAAGTTAGAGTGAATTGGACACTATCACGTGCACCAAAGGCTTTAACACAGGTGATGCGGCTTATTGAGGATATTGAAATCTGATATTGGAGTGTGAAGAGAGTTATTGGTAGTTGCAGGGGGATGTACCATCAAATTAGCATTATTAGAAGTTTTATACTAGGAGTGTTCACTTCGTAAGCATATCTACGAAAATGTGCACACAACATTTAAGTGGTATCTGTAGTTAAGTACGGGTAAACCCATGACACGTGAACCGAACCAGCCAGGTCATATATCGGTCTACCTAGCACGTACTAGTCCAGTTCAGAGCCCTAGAAATCGGTACTTACTCAACATAATCTACATTGTAGCAGGTAGAAATGGGGTACCTAGCATATGTTGACCTCACTCAAAGCTTACCTACACTGACCACATTTGGAGCATATATCTTTGGAAACTCCGATTACAAATGTGCAGAAATAACAGTGATCGTAAAATGGCCACGGGCATTAAATTGAAAAGGGCACCTGTTTACAGTGTGGCTAAAACGTCTATTGATAGCTCTTTATTTTAGGATCAAATGGATGAGAATGTAGTGACTGTGCGCAAGGTGAATGCCGAACTTAAAAAATTCTACTTTTGTCTGTGTGTGCTTGTTTATTACGTTTGTGTCTTTACACTTTGTACTAAGTGCGACATAGCCTGACTACTCCCCATAGGTAGACATGCGTTATAGATGTTAGTCTTTCATTGACTCATTAAATTGCAACCGAGTTTAGAATTGACGTTAAACAGGCGCGAATCCAGCACGCTGTTAGCTTAAAGTGATCACGAGCGAACAAAAAGCTAATTTGAAAATGATCGATGCTTTGGATGATAAGTGCTATCACCTCCGGCAAAGGAAGGATCTAAAAAGTTTTACATCCGTGATTCTTAGTAACTTAAATCCCGAATAAGTTGTTACCTTTATTTCTCAGTGACAGAGAACTCTTTTTTGCTTGAATACATCTACTTCATTGGATAATTTTGTAGTTGGCCGCACTTTGGTGCTGACAGAACTATCGACAAGGATACACTTCAACTGTATCATCTAAAGTTCGTCTTTTAAAATCATTCTCCACATTCAGGATCTGCTGTAACGCAAATTGTTATATTCAGCACTTTGACTAATTGACAAAAACAGCACAAACAATTCCTTGTTCACCATCCACCGTGACGAAAATGTTACTTTTTCGCTGATCGTGATTACCTGTATGAAAGGGCCGGCTTTGAGCGTGCTGCCTTATTTTTTGCCTTGATAATTTACTTGCAAAAAGTAGCATAAGCAAGCGCTCATTATCCGTTGGGTATAAAGTACTCAATGATATTATATTAATCATGGCCTAAAGCAAAAAAAATAAAGCAGAGTGAAGCCAACCGCAACGAAATACTCTTGATCGGATAATTCATAATAAAGGAAAACGTTACTTACACTGGTCAATAGTAGATCATCCCACCGGCAATTTTCGGACAATCTAAACGTTGCATTGTAATATTACACTGATACATCCATTCTAATTCAAATGATGATACCGTCTTAAGTTTTAAGTGCATACCCAAAGTCTGATATCTGATCGCATTTGCGATGGTTGCGACTGCCGATTGGTGATGAAATACGAAGGAAAAATAATGGAGGAGTCGAAAAACTCGATAAAAAAATATAAATGTAGATCTTTACATCATAAATACATTTATGCGCAATGCTCTTACAGATCACACACCACTTAATTATAGAGTAAATACGCATATCACATAACAATCATGTGCGCAACTTCGACTGCCGATTCAGCAAACTGTTGGTGAGAGTTCACCTGCAGCAAAAATTCTTCGAATACACCTGTTATCCGTCATTAATTGACTCTGCTGGTTTGAAATACAACATCATGGATCCTATAGGCATCTTTGTTGTCATCAGTCCACGTGACATTTTAGCTGACGCCATAGTTTTTAGTTGTATCCCATTACCAAATCTGTAACGGGGTCGAAACGTTGCACGAGAATTTCCGTGTAAAGACATAAAAATTTCTGAGAAAGGTTCTAAGCGCGGTACGCACATAAACATGTTATGCGGTTGGGGCACAGCAATAGCGTACCTACTACAATGTGTGTGTCACTCACGAATGACGTCATTGCTTGACGTCGTAGTTTTAAATGCTGTCAATACAGTTCGTCATCAGCGCGTTTATGTTCATTTGAATCGGGCTGTAAGGACAGCGTCTCAGCAGAGCGCGCGTCTACATCCTTCGTCTTAAGCTAATGTAAATTTGATCAAATTTAATCAATTAAATAGCAATCAGGCTTTCATTTGCAATATTTGAAACGCGTACCGGAGGACAGGAAATCGAGTCCGTGCTACATTCAACACAAGATTACATCTATTGGTGAGGCAGTCGTAAAACGCCACCCCGAACCTCACAGCACGCGATTGAAAGAGGTAAATCGGATATCTCGCAATTGCCTGAAGGTGTGTGTTAAGGTAGTGCGTGGCATCTTTCTGCGCCCGCGTACAAAATCGTTTTGCACTAAAATGTAATATACGCAGTCTGAAGCAATAGTTTAGCCCGTAAGCATCAGCAATGCTGCTGCTGTTGTCATTTTATGGCATTGACACTGCATTTTATGCATTTCGATGCCGCCGAGGTTAGTAAAGGTTGCGGTTTCATCGACCTTTACTGAACCTGAATGGTTGCATCCTCGTTTGTTGTGTTTTACCTAACCAAAGTTTCCAAAATGCGGGCAGTGTTCGACAAGCGCTTTCCGCCTCATCTTCTTTGACATTGCTAGTGGCGTAGATGCTGCTTTAATTATATTCGCTGTTGTTTGTGATGCTGTTAATGTCTGCAACGTTTTTGATGCCTACGATATTGCCGGATCTCTTCAAATAATTTCTCTGTCCACATGCTGAATCCAAGTGAGAGCATTATGGTTGCGCGCTGATGTGTCTTTAGCCTTTCGCGATCTTTTTCATCCGCTGGCTCCACAATTATTAAGATAAGGTTCTTTCACGGTGTTTTCTGACTATGGACAGGACTACATTGCATAAATGCCACCGAGACTTATGTCGTCCGACATAAAATCTCATTCTCTATTGCTGAGGATATCAGAAATCGTGCGCGAAATTTATTTTATAAAACCACCGTACGTAACAACAGCAGTGTATTAATCGACAGGGTCGGTAAAATAAATGTAGTGAGCATCTGAGCATTCTCTATCTTCACAGTACACTTGATTTTGGATAATCGCTATTCTTTGACTATAGTGGTGTGTTCATAAATATCGACAATCGCTGTACTTTATCTACAGTTTATTCTCTTTTAGTAAGACGTCGATGGGCTATTTCCGCTCTCGAGGTGACCGTGTTGCTTCGTTGCCTGTACAAATAGATCGATGAGCTCGCGAAGGTATGAGCACGCGGTACTATGTTTCGCTCAACGGAAATAAGGGTATGCGAACAAAGATTAACGATAAAAGCAGAAGCAGCTTCGGCAACGGCATTGGCTTTGGCTTTGGACTGTGGAGCATCGGCAGTAACGGAATTATCACAAAGTATCAATTGGTACCAGCGCTATTTTCGTCAGTGCAAGTGTCTCCGACATAATTGCTGCCGACGAGCCGCAGTAGCTGTAGAGGTTTCGGTGGCCGTCATACAAATATGTTCGTATATTTAAGTGATACTAAGCACGCTAAAATTCATGCTTCATTGTGATAATTGAACTGGTGACCAGCCCTTTCCACCCTTCCTTCGACGCTATCCGTCATCAGCCTTTATCTTTTGTTTGCAATGACCATCAATAATATTCCCTACGTGCCAGCAACTGATGCAACTACAAGCTACGAACGATGATTGTAGTATGATGTCATCATTTTTACAATACCCAGATAAAAGCTATCAATATGAGTCATGACAACAAAGTCCAAATCTGCGTCAAAATTAGAGTACACTTTGTCAGTTTCCAGCAAAAATCACTAATCTCCTCGTTGTGCAGAGTGGTACACGATGATTCGAATTTATCATTGATTCTTGTGACACCAAAAACACGCATAAGGGGATAATCGTACCAATTTCTTGTGCATACACAGTATATGAGCAGATGGCTGCAGTACATGTAAGCCGACACGGCTCAAGCCTTGAGCTAGAGAACAAATGGGTGGAATACTTTCGATTAGTAGCCTTTCATCCCAACTGGACTTAATGACTCTAGAGATGTACACCCAGGGCCTCTTCGGGGTTTGTTCTTCATTTATCAATCATTTGTGCGTTTAATTCCCACTTTTTGCGTCTTGCACACCAAAGCACGCACCATCTTCACTAAGCTTGGTCGGGTATGCGGGATGTGGATCCACCGCATTAATGTAAACAGTATCGGCATGAATCGCTGTTTTCCAATTCAAGCACTGCGGCACTACCGCTGATCCAGCTTTATACCTTTTAACATGGTACATGATGGAACGATATCTGTTGACACGCTGTAAATCGCATAAACCAGTGGCACTTTTCATGAGGCTTCGAACAACCTCGTACAATTAGCCAGCCTTCTGAATTGAAACCTGATCCTGAATTTTCGTGCCACCTTAGCGCAGCAACTCATGCTGATCAAACCGAATAACTACTTCTTTTGCAATGACCATAGTCGCCTACTACTAACTTCGTATAAGGACGATATCGAAGTATGCACCCTTTACGTATAAAATCGTAGAACACTTGGCTGGTTCCAGCGTCTTGTTTATGCTCAACAGCAAAGGAGAAGAGCAATCTATGGCTCCGAGGGAATTGGGAGTTGTGTTGGCGACGTCAGAAGTGGCGGCCGTCGATTCTCTTGATAAGACGCGTCTGCTATTTAAAGTTTATTTAGTGCAACAATAGAATTTAGATTTTGCGATACGAAAAAGATAGGTCGAGAGGTTCCCATGAGACAACAGCTGAGGTGTCATCATCAAAATAGACAAGCAATAGCATGTTAATTACAGTTGTCATCTTTTGATTGTCCAGCACAAATCACTTATGTTTCTATGACCGCTGGTGGATAAAAACATCACTATCCCGAAACATTCAATAAGATTTTGATTTCGTCTATAATACGAGCTCACTCTTTAACGGCTGGGGAACGTGCAGAAAGGGCTGAACGGTCAAAGGTTAAGTCGTTGGTCAAAGCTGGTAAAATGCAAAGTGAATATATTTAGGTCCTTAGTTCGCAAAGTCTGTTGCTACTCTAAGCCTACTTGATTCTTCGACTGTACGTTCCTAATTGCTATATCGCACATTACTAATCGTCTAGTCGCGCATTAGTAATCACATCGCGCCTTTTTAATCGTCTAGTCGTACGTTTCTAATTCTGGTCGTGCGTTTCTGAACTCCCAAACGTACCGAAAGTGGGGGACGTCATTGTCTGGCAGGACAGTGCTGGTGAACCCCAAACACCAGATCCCGAAGGCTTAACTTTTTGTTTGCACGCCCCACCGGTATCGACCCAGTGACCTTTGGGATGGTACTGCCATACCAAACCGGCTGAGCTACAGAACACTTTTCTGAAACGTCATGCCGAGGCGTATCCTTTACAACAATAGGCAGAGTCGTTTACATACGTGTATGATGGAAATGTACTCGCAAACTATAGGTAAAGATAATACGGCTAAGATGATATTGATTTTAATACGTTGTTCCATCTACGTGGCTAGGACGTCATAAGACCAAGATATGAGTCTTTTCTTGTAAAAGCAAGTAAGACGAAACGACAATCATGAGTAAAAACGCTCAACGGCCCGAAAAACGTTATAGGTAGTGAATGTATACGCCATTTCTGTTTTCCATCTAGTCATTGCTCAAATCGAAGTGCGACCTGCAATCCACCGAAAAAAGTACTGCTTATTTGTCATGTAAGCTGACAAACGCATCGATCGGCAAAAGATTTACTACTCTGTCCCACTTGTTTGGGAATCAATGACGATTCGATTTGCATTTTGGCACAGACTGTTTTGTAAATCGGAAATACGACTAGCGAAAAGAGCTTTTTATAGCGTTCTAAGCATTTATGAAGCCCATTCAACTACAGATTTTTAACAACACACTCTGGTACTTTTCTGATAGTTCTTTAAATGTTTTAGTAGTTGCTTCTATGCAGTAAAGTCAAAATGTGCTGTTCTTCACTCGAACAAAAAATTTATTGACTGAAAAGCAGCGTGCAAGTCTCATAGACAATTTAAATAATTTAACCTGCAAAATTGATGTGAATAGAAGCAAAGTTTTTTATAATTTGGGGTGATACGTCAAACATATGGTTGAATATGGAATGATATTAGCCAGTAGAAAACACTCAATTCTCATCCTTTTTATTTTTGCTCAGCGCCCAGATAAGCATTTCTTTGCAAAGAGAAAAAATCTTTAAAACAAGCACAGAAGCGGACGGTAAAAACGAGGGATGCGCTCCACGTGCAAAATGATACTTTTTAACACGCGGCATCTGAAAACAAATACTACTTTCGTTCTCAATCACCTTTTCCATCACAATTTTGCAGCGTCGAGAACATCTTGTCAATTGTGTCCGCCTGAAATTTTTTCGAAAGGCCGTTGAAAGTATGGACGAGTGCTCCAGTTCTGTGGCTTTCTGTCTGGTAGTGCACCAACTGAGCACGTTAAACAATCCGACGTCCAAAACATACATTGGTGGAAGCTGAAGTTGAAGATTGTAAACTGCGATTAGCGCCAGCCGACAATCTGGTCAGATATAGTCAGTATTAGATGGTAGTAGACAAGTTGGTCAGCAACCATCTGTCTTTGGGACGGTTAGAGCATAGAACTTTAGGAGAAAGGGTGACTAGGAGACAGACAGACAGGAGACAGAGCAAGTAATACACAGAATCAAATCGTCTTCCTACTCCACAAGCATATTGTCCTACAGGTTATGAGCCCAATGTCAGGAGCCAGAGAACCGACTACGAAGACACCAGGTGGTGTCGCGCGACCTACCCCTGGGCGTGGCTCGCCAGCGCGTGTGCCCACACCGGTCACCACGTCCGCAGTCGTTAAAGACTCGTCCGCGCAGGAGACGCGTGACGACAAGACCCTCGCAGCACTCTCGAGTGTGACGGAACGCCTCGCGACGCTGGAATCGTCGTCGCGGGTGCGCGACGAAGACGAGCGCATGCTGGGCGCTGTCGAAAGTGGCATGTTTGCATCGAAGCTCGGCGCGAACATGCGCGGGCGTCCGATGACGATCGACGCACTCGGGTCGCCGGAGAGGAAGCCAACAGCGCCGCCAGCGTATCAGCGCGCGGATGAACCCGGTGTGTCTCGCTTCGCGACGCTCGAGCCACCTGGTGCGCGCTTGCCGCAGCAGCAGCCCGCGCCGCCGCAAGCAGACGTGCGTCCGGGACTGAACGGCTACGGGATGCCGTCTGCAAGTCAGCGGAAGCTGCACATCCGAAAGTTTGACGGGACAGAGTTGTACCGCGGGATCGTTAGCGGCTTCTTCGACTGGGCCCGTACGTTCATGCGTGCCGTGAGCCTCGGAGAAGCGTCGTGCGGTTTCGCGTGGACCGAGGACGTCAAGATGGACCTCCTCGGCCACTTCCTGGCGGGCACTGCGGAGCGGTACTACCACAAGCAGGTTGGCACCTGGTGGGTGCAGATTCCGCGCCTCGAGTACATCCTCGAGCATCTGCTTCTCACGTCAAGACCACGATTACTGCAAGTCAGGCCATGAAGATCTTCATGGCAAAGAAAGAGACGCGACGGACCTGGGCCGAGCACTTTCTCTACATGGTTGCAGTAAGCGAGACGCGCGGCGGCGCCGATTCACTCGTGCTCGACAACATCGTGCATCACGCGTCGCCCGAATTAATGAACGTCATGCGCGCGAAGTACGACCCGACGCGGGTCGATTACCTGCGTCATGCAGAAGAGCTGGCGCACTTTGCTCAGTCGATCGAACACGGCACTGGCGCGGTCGGCCGCGACGTGGTCGCAGCACATGTCGAGACGACACCCAAGGGGCCGCGCGTATGTTACCGGTGCGGCAGACCTGGGCACATTGCGTCCGACTGCAGCGCGCGTGTGGTGCATGACGAAGAAGCGCGTGCGCAAAGTGGGGGCAGCATGATCCTAGCGCTGACCGAAAAGTCGCCGGGCGCGGTCTGGAGACGACGCCACAAGAAGAAGAGGAGCTCGCGCGGCAAGGAAACTGCAGTAGGCGACGCGAGAGGCAAAGCTCAAGCCACGAACGGCTCGATCGGCCTAGTACTTGCAACGAACGACGCTATCAAGATCATGCGAGGCGACTGGATCCTCGACAGCGGCGCAAGCCGACATCTAGTGAACGACGAGTCGCTTCTGCTTGACTCATCCTCTTGCAGTCACGAGATCGCCATGGCGGATGGCGAATCGTTGCGACTGACGCGTGCTGGCAGCGTGCGCCTCGAGGTCCTCGTGCGTGGTGTAAAGACGATCGTGACGCTCACGGACGTGTATCTGGCACCGCTACTGGCGAAGAATATCGTGTCGTACGGGAAGCTCGAGAGCAAAGGCTACGGACTCGTTTACGACGGCGACAAGCGGGCTCTAGCTCGACGCAGCGACGGCTTAGTCGCGTTCGACGTCGAGACCGACAGCAACGTGCTATATGGGGAGACAGCGACGAGTCGGAGGCACGGCGCCGGCGATGCAATCTTGGCCGCGCTCGAAGCACATTCGGCAGAAGCAAGCGCAGACGATGCACACGTGGCCTCGCTTCTGCACTGGCACCAGCGGCTCGGGCACCTCGCGTTCGACACGATCGTTCGAATGGCGCGCGATCCGGCCTCGGGCATCAAGCTCAGCAGCGACAAGCGCATGGCGTGCGTGTCGTGCATGGAAGGGAAGCAGACGCGCAATGCGCAGTCGCAGGAGGACAGTGGCACCAACTCGCCTATCGATCGCATCGGTGGCGTCATCTGCTCGGACCTTAAGGGCCCGATGACGCCGCGGGACAGACTACAGAACCGGTACTTGGTCAATTTCATCGACCACAAGTCGAACTACTGCCGCTTGTTTCTCGCGCGCACCAAGGACGCGGCGGCAAAGCATTTTGAGGCGTTCCCCATTCACTTCGAGCGGCGTTTCGGGTTCAAGATCCACGTCTTGAAAACAGACGGCGGCGGCGTGTACGCCAACATTGACCTGTTTTGCAAACGGACGGGTGTCGCGCGCCAGGTGTCGGAGGCGCGAAACCAAGCGTCAAACGGAAAGGCGGAGAGGATGCATCAGACGCTGTTAAATCTTGCGCGCAGCATGATGTTCGCGAGCGCGCTGCCATTACAGTACTGGGGCGACGCCGTCCAGTACGCAGTGTACATCCTGAACAGGAGACCGACGCGCGCAAACGAGAAGCGGGCGTCGCCACTCGAGATGCTGACGGACAAGGTGCCGGATCTGCGCGGCATCGTCGTCTTCGGCTCACCGTGCAGTGTCTACCGCGATCAGCGCAAGAACTCGCTGCTGAAGCGATCACAGCACGGGATCATCGTCGGTGTGAGCGAGGAGACAAAGGGGTACAAGGTGCTGCTGACGCGCGAGAACAAGGTGGTCGTCACGCAGCACGTCAAGGACATCGCGACGCTGTCGGAGGCGCAGAACGCGCTGCTCCAGCGCGCGATGGACGCCGGCGACCGAGCTGGTGACACGGAGGAGGCCGAGACGACAGTGGCAGCCATCACGAGTGGTGGCAGCACAGGCGGGCGCGCTACGGCTCGCAAGAAGGGCGGAATAGCGTGGACGAGATCGGCGCACGGAACACGCGGCGCGTCGAAACGTGCAGAAGCAGCAGCTCGACAGGAGGAGTTAGCTGAGAGCGGAGAAGTGGTGAACACGGCTTTCGAGCGCGATGCGATAATCTACAGCGAGGCGATCCGCGGTGGCAAGCGTGACGGCTGTATGAAGGCCATGAGAGAAGAAATAGCAGCTCTTCAGAGCAACGACGTGTGGACGATCGTGAAGCGCGCGCCAGAAACGCACGCGCTACACACGAAGTGGGTCTACAAGACCAAGACGGACGCGCAGGGCAACCTCGAGCGACTGAAGGCGCGTCTGGTCGCGTGCGGCAACGAGCAGGTGCTCGGCGTCGATTATACGCTCACCTTTGCCGCAGTGATGGATCTCTCGACGGTCAAGGTGATCCTGGCACTCGCGGCCACGTGGGGGGTGCCTGCCAAGCACGGCGACACTTCAAACGCGTACGTGAAGGCGGAGAAGGAGGCGCATCTGCGCATATTCCTCCAGATGCCGCGCGGAATGTAGGTTTCGGAGAAGACGCTTCGTACGCACGGCGCCACGAGTGCGAGCGAGCTCGTGCTCGAGCTCCGCAAGAGCCTGTACGGCCATAAGCAGGCAGGCAGGCTGTGGAGCCTGCTGCTACACGCCAAGCTGGTCGATGCCGGTTTTGTGCGCTGCGAGAGCAACATGTGTTTCTACTGGAAGCGGGAACGTGCGGATCTAGTCGTCGTCGGCATGTATGTCGACGATCTCCTTGCGACAGGCACTAGCGCGGCGGCGGTGGAGAGTCTCTTCGAAAGCCTCGCGTCGCTTTCGATAAAGGACTTGGGCTAAGTCAGCAAGTTTCTGGGCATGCGCGTGCAGCTTGCCAGCGAGGGAGAATACAAGCTCGACCAGGAAGAGGCGATTGGCGACCTCGTGAGAGACAAAGGACTTGTCGATGCCAACCCGACAAAAACGCCGATCGGCGACGACTGCTACGAGATCGAAGCGGACGACACGGCGCTCTTAGGAACCACGGGCGCAAAGACAGGAGCGACGGTGCGCGACTTCCAGTCGCTGGTCGGCTCTCTGCTGTGGATTGCGCGATACACGCGCCCGGACATCGCTTTCGCGGTGCACAAGGCGACCCGTCAGACGCATGCGCCTCGCGTGCATGATTTGGAAGATGGTCAAACGTGTTGCACGCTACTTCAAAGGTACGGCGGCGCTCAAGATCGCCATGAAGCCCGAGTATGATGGGGATGGGACGATGCGGCTCGAGGCATTCAGCGACGCAGTCTACGCTGCCGATAAGTCCGACAGAAAGTCAATGAATGGCGGCGTGGTGCGCCTGAACGGCATGGCCGTGAGCTGAAGCGCACGAAAAAAAGGAGGCGTCGCGCTGCCGACAATGGAGGCCGAGTTCGTCGAACCAAGCGAGGTCGCGCGCGAAGTGCTCGGACTGCGCGAGATGGTGCGCGAAGTGGGACTCGAGCCGGCGCTCCCGATGCAGCTGCACGCTGACAACCAAGCGGCGATCAGCCAGATCGCCGGCGAGGCGTCGTCGCTGAAGGCAAAACACGTGGACGTTCAGCTTAAGTTCCTCTGCGACTTCGCGCGTCGTGGTGTTGTAGTGGCGATCTACGTGCGGTCGGAGCAAATGCTGGCGGACCTCATGACGAAGGCTCTGGATGCGACAAAGCTGAGAACGTTGCGCGAGCTCATGTGCATCGGCTAGGGCGAGGACAAGGACGCTCAAGGCTGGAAAAGACACAGAAGATGGAGAAAGGGAAGGAAGGAGGCGTAATCGAGGAGGAGTGTTGGAAGTTGAAGTTGAAGATTGTAAATTGCGATTAGCGCCAGCCGTCAATCTTGTCAGATATAGTCAGTATTAGATGGTAGTAGACAAGTTGGTCAGCAACCATCTGTCTTTGGGACGGTTGGAGCAGATACCTTTAGGAGAAAGGGTGACTAGGAGACAGACAGACAGGAGACAGAGCAAGTAATACACAGAATCAAATCGTCTTCCTACTCCACAAGCATATTGTCCTACATACATGTCAGGGAATCGCAGGGGATGGCATTGCACCATGGTGTTCCTTATCTCCCTGTGTCTATATCAGCATTCTTCCCGTATTCTGATACTATTTAATCAATTTCTCACAGACCTACTAGGATTAAATCCCCCAGCGCTCCGATGAGCGTAGTACCTCCTAAGTCCTGACGAAGTGGTTAGTGCCTCGCTGCTTCAGACAATGAAGATAGCATCTGGCAGTGGTCCTCCTATGGCGAGATGACTTCTAGTCCCAGTGGCAATGTCAGAGGAAGAACGCTTCGCTGGCGCGGTTTCAACAATCATCCGTATGTCGATCATACCGTTGAACTTGGCCTTCCTGTGAAGTCGTACTGTGGCCGCGCGACTGCGGCCAAAAGCATCACCTTGCTGATACATAGCTTTTCGGGGTTAAGGGATAAGGTAGAGTTTCAGTATCATCAGGGTAACACGCTTTGATATCTTGCAAAGATTACGCCATTTCTCATTTACATGAACGACATCATACATCAATTACAAACAATAGGGCAATCGATCTGTTGAAGAAAAACAGTACGTGCTAGCGATTTTTACGTGTAATACAGTACAGTACAAAAGTTATCAGTGGCAGAATTAGCTATCGATCTCTGCACTTGACTGAGGGTAAACGCAAATTGCTTCTGCGTATGTATTGCCGCTTATGTTATTGTCGCGCGACAAAAAAAGTGATGGATGAAGCTTACTTTACGTAGCAGTGGAGAGTTGACGTCAGGATTCCGGTCCTGCTGGCTAGCGTAAGCAACGCCTTTCTTCGAAAGAAGGGAAAGGTTCGTATCACGGACTCCACTTTGCTCGGCGACCGCTTCGCTCCACGAGTCACTGGATGTAATTGGGCGACGACAGCTGGGGAATGGTAATGATGCATGCGCTAGATCTTCCACACAGACGAGAGACCAAGCTAGAATTTTATCTTCGCTACTGCGACAGTCCTTTTTGCTGGAAGTTGTCGTGTAGAGATACACTGTGTAGTCTTGATAGTGGAGACACAGAGCGAGATCCTGCACGAGAGGTCACGCGATGGCACGAAAGGTCGCACAGGTTGTAAGGGGGGAGCAGGCAGTGAAGATAATACACAGTCTGCAAAAATACCCAGCAAGCGCACTCGTTCGCTCCCTCACTCGATGCACACACAAAACAACACCTTTGGCGGGCACTCCTATCTGTGTGTAACTGCTCTGGAAAAGCACAACCACGAACCGTTTCGCAGGGTGCACGTTCGGCGCGGTCGTCTCTCGCGGCATCGTAAATTCTGTAGATTCAAAAATGAGCGACCACAGCGATTACTCTCGCTGGTGAGCGATCACTACCAATGCCTCACTGAGCTTGTCTGTGTTGTGAACTGCCAAACAAACCAGACCAAAAAAGAGTCGATTTTTAGGCAGTTGTGATAGTTCATGCAACTCACATAGCTATTCAGTCCCTAAGCTAAAAAGACAGAGTAGCACTAGATTGAAAAGTCGCAGTAGAAATGTAGAATTCTTGTCACATTTGCAAATTATTAGATGATCGATGCATAAAAACGCCAGAATTCATTGGTGGCAAAACACACACAATCATACGACCAATCTCACGTGACATGTCAAACTCGAAGAAAAAGCGGCGGCCAAAGGTTGCGCCACGGTATACTCGTGATCGAGATGAAGACGCTGGCAAATACGCAGACGAGAACCGCGTGGTTACTAGTCAACAAGTAAAATTAGTGCGCGGTATATTTACACGCACCACGTGCCGCTGTTTCGTGCTGAAGTCGTTCAGTGAAGCTAATATTCACAAAAGCCTCAAGTTTGGCATATGGAGCACAACGACGTTGCACAGTGCTCTGCTAAACCAAGTTTATGATAGCGACACGTGTGCAAACCTGTCGGTCTTGCTCTTCTTTAGGTATTCGCATCCACAATGCTGTATGTGATGTCGAGCTATCCTAACATTGTCTGCTGTGTGATGTTTTTGTTGTTTTGGAACACTAGTGTGTGTGGTACCAAACACTTTAACGGCGTTGCTCGAATGACGTCGAAAGTGCGGACAGACGCACACTTTCAGCTGTGGGAGAAGCTCAAGTACGAGGGATTCTTTCATGTCGAGTGGCTACTGGTCAAAGATGTGCCCAACTACGTTCTAACTGGAGTCAAGATGAGTAACACGCCGACCAAAAAGTCTATCACGTCATGTCGAGATTGTGAAGAAGTACCACCGAAAGAGGTGAGGTGTTGTTGCAGGGGCATGATTTGGGGAGTGATAGTGTATTTGACAATAATGTTGTACGTCGTTGTGCAGGCTAATGAGTTTTTGACCATTTTTCCCGAGTATAAAAGTCGCTCCAGCGCTTTGGACGATTTTGCGCATTATGACCAGCTTCAGGTAGAGATTGAACAGAAACGGCGACTAGCGTTTGCTGATGGGGTCGACAAGACAGATGTGAACTTGTATCTCGTACCGGTTCAACAAGAACCGCTAGGGTCAACATAAAATGAACCTTCATTGCAAACAAAATGATCCGACTACAGCTTACTTGGACTTATTTGAATAGCTGTTTGTATCCGCGACGTTTCTTTGTTTCAGCCCCACGTCGTAGTTCACTAGCGTGTGTACTAGGCACAGTACTTTACTGACAGACACAACTACTCAGAGTACAGAAGTCAGAGTTCGTTCGTGCAAAGGTCTTTGTTTTACCATGTTTGCAGTAAACGCATACCGACCTGGTATACAAGAAGTTCTAGAGACTGCTGTTCGTGGTTCTATTGTCGGAAATTAGCTACTTTCCTATTGTAAAATATCGCAGCTATGCTGCATGTACACTAAAGCATTTAAACTGATATCATAGCAGCGACCAGGCGTTGTTTGTAAGATGTAAAGCTCTGGCTTTGTTCCAATTTAAGATGCCATCCCGCGCATAATCGTGTGCCCCATTTTATTTGCCACGATGAACTATCATAATGTCGCAACTAATTTGCCTTCGATACTCGCAGTCCTGTAGTGGTGCGATGTATAATAATCCGTTCATCATGAAGTTACTTTTCACTGTCTCTGAAACATTGTCTAACAAAGAAACTAGTCGTGGATGCTGGATGTATACGTCAGGCGCGCAAACCATCATATTAAGCATCGTACTTTCATTCAGGGCTGATCTCTGCAAATACAAGGTATTCAAAACCTCGTAACATCATGAGTACCGTACAAAGCACGAGTAAGACATCGAAAAGTCCTGGGCGGGGTCGAGCGACGACCATTCGCTTGCGAAGCGAGTGCTTTGCCGCTCAGCTTTCATATTCATCGATTGATGTAAACATTCACCTTGTTGCTTTTACGAAGAAAAAAGCTGTGCCTGACGCATCAGACTAAAATACAGCTTGACAAATAGGTAAACGCTGAGCCATACACATGCTCACTAACCCCAGTCCAAGTGCCTGTCGTTGCAAGCCAGCTATCGTCAGCCATATCATGACCGTGCGGACCTAGAAGTTGGATGGAACGACAAGGCACTTTTGCCGCCTGCTCTGATTTTTTCTGCGCTTCGATCCGTCCAATGTCGCCGACTTCTGGCACACAGGATCCAGCTGGATCAGTAGTATACTGAGCAACGAGGCAGCGTGCCCTGACAAGCTCATAAAACACGATTGAATTCGAATCGAAGCTTCACGCGTACATGCTTAAGGAACGCAAAAATAAGTATAAAAATGAATGGCCTGTAGAAGCAACATGGCCTGTAGAAGCAACATCGCAGCTTTGAGCAGTTGCGATAAGGTCAATACTGCTCATGCCAGCGTCTGTAGTGAATCGATTCATCCTGCTAATGATACGCAGGTATGGAGGCGTCTAAAGTTTACAAACTTTTTTAATGCCTACAAAAAGCACGTGTTTAACTTTTTTGAATACATTGCACTTGATTGTCAACATCCACCGGTGAGCAGCTCTCTTCAGTATTGTTTCTACTGCATCACCTTCCACACGTTGCTGGTCTGCTTAATATATTAGGTCCGGTGGTACAAGTGCAAGTACTGGAACGCAGGTTTCTGAGACATAGTTCCACATTATTTAATGATCGTGCTTCTAGCCCTTCTCAAATTAAGCCTCTCACGCCAACAGTGTCCGTCTGATCTTGTTGTGTCATCTAACACATATTTTGCGTCAATGATGGCCACTCATAATCGATGTATGTGAGCAAAGCTGCGCTAGTGCACAAGATGAAAGGCACCTTGGCATTGAATAAGTCCAACCAACCATGTATGTACGTGATGCCACTGGACACGCTAGTTGAGAAGAAATAAGCAACGTGCTAAGTGTTACGGAGTAAGGTAGCGATTGTTAGGCTCTAAGTCATCCCCTGCGTCGTTTGCAAAACGCTTCGCTTTACTACAAGCATACGTTGTCACTAAGCGTAGTACTGCAGCGTCGCCTTCTTCTTGGCTGACACGACGAGTATCCCTTCCATAAAGTCTTCGTGTTTGATCACGTTGCTATCGCGACGCAGTGCCAGCATACCAGCCTCCACGCAGACCTGCAAGACATTCATCCAACATAGCATACATCATGTCAGACTCGTCAACATAATTCGATTCATAGCACTTATAATAGATGCCGTTTAGTTTACCGCTTTCAGTTGTGCGCCATTGAAGTCGTCCGTAGAGCGTGCCAGCTCGTCAAAGTTGGTGTCTGCGTGTACCAAAAGGATAAAAAAGTAAGTCCAGCTGCATGACGATAGCCCGATTGCGGGCAACACTGCCATTTACCTTCCGTGTCGACATTCATTTTACGCGAGTGGATCTGCAAAATGCGAGCACGAGCTTCTTCCGTCGGATGCGGCAGCTCAATCTAACAAATTTAGCGTTCTGATGAATAACCCACTTCTTTAAGCACACACAAGTAAACACGTTGACCGCATACCTTGCGGTCTAGCCGTCCAGAACGCAGCAGAGCAGGATCCAGCACATCCGGACGGTTGGTAGCAGCAATGACCTTGATCTTTGTATTGTTCGTGAAGCCATCCAACTGGTTCAGGAGTTCCAACATGGTGCGCTGTACTTCTCGATCACCCGACTGTTCACCACCAAAACGCTTGGTCCCAATAGCATCCAGCTAGCATTCCACCACCATGAACAAGCAACAACAAAAACACAACGTCAGCCCCTGAACGATCCCACCTTTCAAACGCCCCATTCTCTCTCTCCCTCCCTCTCACCTCGTCAATAAAGATGATCGCGCCGCCACGGCCTTGGTCCTTGCACTTTTCCTTAGCTAATTCAAACGCGTCTCGCACGAGTTTCGCGCCATCTCCGATAAACATTTGCACCAATTGCGGCGCTGCAAGTTTCAAAAAAATCGCGTCCGTCTGTTTCGCACACGCCCGTGCCAACAGCGTCTTGCCCGTGCCCGGGGGACCGTGCAAGAGCACGCCCTTGGGCGGCATAATGCCAATGGCTTCAAACCTCTCCTTGTGCGTCATCGGAAGCACCACCGCCTCCACGAGCTCTTGGATCTGCTTGTCCAGGCCGCCAATGTCACTGTACTCTTCCGTCGGCTTCTCGTCCACCTCCATCGCCTTGACCCGGGAATCGTATTCGCTCGGGAGCTTCTCCAAGATCAAGTAACTGTCCTTGTTCACGCCCACGAGGTCGTTCGGGATCAGCGTGGACGACTCCACGAGCCCAGGGATTGGGAGGAAGATCGTCTGCCGCGTGCTCGTCTTGATGACGGCGCTCTTGCCCCGGCGCTGCGCGTCCACGTCGGTGGCTGCCCCGTCCTGCTCGTCGTCGTCGTCCTCGAGCTCGAGGATCTCGACGACGTTCGCGACTAAGTACGGCAGCTGTTTGTTGAGCTTGACCTTCTCGTTGTTCTCCTTGATGCGCTCGCGCTGCGAGTTGCTCTCGTGGTTGATGCGCTGGATGTCGCTGCGCATGATGCGGATGTCGTTGTCCAGGAGACGGATGCGCTGCCGCAGCTCGTCGTTCGACATGAGGAGGATCTCCGGGTCCAGCCCATCCGTGTCGGCGCCGCCCCAGATCTCGGCCGATTCGAGCGCGCTCATTTTATTTAGTGCGATCTTTTTATTTAGTGCGATCCTTTTATTTTAAGTTTATTTTGGGTTTATTTTTAGTGTCGTTGGAGGAGGAGGAGGAGGATTGGTGGATAATGCGCCTGACTGAAAACCCAAGTGGATGGGATGATACGTCGAGGATGACACGCGATTCAAAGTACTATTCAAATGGACCAGACCACTTGGTGACGCAGCCGACGCGAATGAACTCGTCTCGGGTTTTCGGGTCCTGTTCACCGAGCACAACTCGACTGCTGCTTTGGCCTTCGCTTTTACGTGACGATGGGACCGTCACGTCTTTTAGTGAGCACGACACGATCGAAATGTCCTTGGTGCGGGGGTCTTGCGATATCCGGATCTCGGCGTCGGGGTCGAAAGGCCGCAGGTAGCGCAGCAACTTGGACTTGAGCAGCTGGATCGGCCCTGTCTCAACGTCTCGAGCCCCGTACTTGGCAAACACTTTGCTCGACTTGACCTTGCCGTTAACAACCGCCGAGCGCACTTTGTAGTGCACCGAGTCCAAACGTGACATGTAGTCGGCAATGGGTTCCTACAAAACGTGCATGCAAGCATCTCAACCACAGAGTTCCAATCGGTATTTCTGCAGCAAAAGACATACTTCAATCCACAGTCGATGCCAGTACTTGCCACGGTAGTTATTGTCCAGCTGCTTCAGCTTCAGTGCGATGATTTCGACAATATGCTGGTGCTCGAAAGGCAAAAAAGGAACGACCTGCAGAGTATACCAGCCGTTCAATGAACGACAAAAATGAGCGCTCCCGTCAGCGCACAGTCTAGCTCAACCCGCAAAGAGTCGGTGGACCTAGCATACCCGATCGATCATCTTGCCAAATTCCAGACGCTTCCACTGATCATCAAGGGCTGCCTTCACGACCCTTTCAAGCTGTACTGTGGGTATCTCGTTACGAGTCTCGTACTGAATCATGACCTGCTCCATTTCGCCAACGCCAATGTCCGACACGAGTATGAAAATGACCTACAAACAAAGCAATATAAGTAACGCAACAGCACATGAAACATGCTTCAAAATGATCCGCCAAAGTTTGCATACGTTGGCAGTGTCGATATTCTTGGTTACTCCGTGCTTATAGTACGAAAACTGAGAGCTCTCGCTGACCGCTTCCATGAGAACTGCGCACGCGTACGTCGATTAGAGAAACTTTGAGACGGACAAATGTAGTAAACATAACTGTACCATCGAGAGTGTGAGGGATCACTTTCTGCACCTCGTCGATTACCACGACAGCTTTCCCCGAGCAATAGTGCAAGTGCTCAGCGAGCCTGCAAAGGTAGTCACGTCAGCAAAAGCATAGCGATAGAATATATGGAATACCGTAGCAGCATACGACTTACCTTGTCTTGATTTGGGTGTGATACTCCGTGATAGGGTTCGTAAAGTTATCGCTGAAATCCTCTCCACTGTTGTAACAGTCGGAACGAAAGTCAACTACAATGTCCAACACTTGAGTATCGGCAAATCGACAACTTACCGATAAATCAACAGACCCGACGGCACGCGCTTTTCACTGTGTGGCAGCTTCTTTTTGCGTTGAAACAGCGCTTCAGCAATCAAATTCGACATTTCTGTCTTGCCCGTTCCCGTCGGTCCCGTAATTGCCAGCACCAACGGCGCACAGTCTTTCGACGACGTCCTACGTCCAGCCAAAACCACAGCAAAACATCAAATATTGCCTTCATTACCACCCAAATGTTTCATCCACAAGAGCGTCCACAAATTGACCACGCACGAGAACTCCCACGCTTCGATGGCGCCTACGACTGCCTCCACTGCTCGCTCTTGGCCCTTGAGATTCTCCTGCAAGTGCGCACGCACTGCTTGGGACGGTTTGCTCACAAAATTGCATTGATCTGCTTGCGTTCAATAGCGGCCCACAAGCAATTAGAGATCTGGTCGAGATTAAATAGTGCCATGGATTTCATCCACTCAAAAATGATTGCGCACAGCCAAGTCCCGTGTGGTACCACGCCGACTCCCAGTAATTGCGCCAATCCACATCAAGCGAGCACACATTCATCAGCAATCCAGCAGCAATTAGCGCCTGCAGCAGCGCACGGCGCCGATCAGGTGCAGCAAGCCTCGGCATCTCTCGGCTCTTCTTTTGGTCCTATCAGATGTTGTGTATGTCATCCTTAATTACTAGCTCATCATTGGCTGTATTTCATTGTATTTTAAAATTAGTTTCTACCAATCCAAAGCAGGCACTTGCCTGCAGTACGAAAATGCCTCGCTTCCGCGCCCAGCTCGTGATGGCGAGCGCCGTAGGGACGACATCGAAGCTCGTGCACTCGAAGCGACACGGGGAGCTCGTACTGGACGCTAGTACACAGAGTGTGAAGATCATCTACCCGCGTGTGAACAGGTTTTTCTACCGCAAGTTCGATCAGCCGCGGAAGTGCGTCGTGAGTCGAAGGTTACTTCAAGTGATTGCAAGCAACGGCAAACAGCGATTCATGTGCGGCTTCTTGTGACCTACTGCTGGTGGCAAAAGGAACAAAACAGTGTTGAGTAACAAGTTTGGTTGTATTGCGTGTATGCTGTTGTGTAGGTGCCGCTTTGTCTGTGAGGAAGACGCGACCAAGTGTGTTGAAACACTGCGAAGCTTTGGAGGTGAAGCCAATGCATGCGGAAAAAAGGAGAACATGTCTCATACTTCTACTAACTGAAGAGTGGATGGTGCCAGTTGAGGTCATTGTGGTGGATGAGAAGTCGCTGCTGTCGAGTAGGCGGGTCGTTACGACGCAGGAAGAGAGCGTTATGGCCGGTACGTGACGAAGCGAATTGTGAAGTGGATCATGCTGTCTTTAACTCTTTTGATGTGTATGTATCTCTCATTGTTTGGTTGTTTGGTGCTGGTTGCTGTTATCCACTGAGTAGGAGGTGAAGCTGCTTTGCAAACTCTTCGCGAGTCATCGCCAGGATCGATACGAACCGAAGTTCGAGACTACAGGCGTTCGTCTCAGCTGCAAGACGACACCAAAGTTATTCTGCGTGCGATGTTCAGCATTGACTGTTGATTGATAAGGCATTGCTGAATAGTTAAAGTGAGTTCGTGCAGCTCTTGACTGTCGCTGTAAAGCACGATACTCTTGTGCTAAACTGCTTCGATGCCATGCATGGCGTGATTGTCAGCCAGTTCGCAAACATCTAACTACAGGGCTGACGACTGGTGGTTGGCGTGACATTATTCGACAAACGGGTCGCTGCCGTACGCACTGTACATGCCTAGAATAAAAACACTTGCAAGCTGCGCGACAACGATGCTTATGAGACCGTAGCGATACGCCCAGATCAGGCGCCTCGACGAGAGGTTATCCAGCTCATACACCCACGTCGAAACCGTAGAAAATGAACCAAGGAAGCCAACCATCACGCCTCCTTGGCCGAACATCACGAAATCGCGGTACGACGAAGCGCTATCATGGTATGCAATACTGCGGACGATCTCCATTGCACAGCTCAGACACGACGCAGACAAGTTGGGCCAGAAAGTGAAAAACGGGAATCGTCTGCACATGGGCTCGCTGTTGTACATTGACAAGTACCATCGCAGCAGTGCGCCCCAAGGGGCAAAACAAACGGCCAGGAGCCGCGAGCTAGGGTAGTTGTCGAAGCCACAGAACGCGAGTGTCCAGAAAAGCGCCGTCAACGTGAGTGCTGCCACCACCCAGATCATGCTGTGGTGGTTGATAGCTTGCTGTTCGTGCTCCACTTGGGTGATTTCCGCTGTTAATTCATTGCACGAGTCTCTCGCCAAAACTAGTGCCTCTTCCGTCGCCTGAACTCGTCGAGCTACTAGCGGGCCAAACGTGTGTGTCTGCATCTCTCGGAAGCGACAAATACTTGTTTCCAGATCCAGATTAAGCTGTGGCAGGTTGACTGGCGGCTTGCGGAACGGGTACTCTCGCATCGTGAAGTAGTGCACAACCCCGTCGGAAACATGGAAGCCCAGTCGAAGGCTCGTGATTGCACTCGCCACGTGGATACACAGCACCAACGTGGCGGTCAACCAGCGACCGCGGACAAACATGAGCGCTACGCCAAGGTCCCAACCAGCAAAAGTGGTGCAACTGCCGCAAAAGCCTGTCGTCGCACCTGTAAGCAGCACGTCATACTGACCACGCAAGATCGGTCTCACGCGTGCAGCGAGGCCCATCGCAAAGCAGCCAACTACATTGGGCAGGAAGTACCCAAAGCCCAGAAGCTCCAACAAGTCCGCCTGACTCTCGCTGATAACATTGGCAAATTCCGTCAACAAGACGCGAATTCCGACGCCCAAGTACGCGCCAATGACGACGCTCATCACCACTGGCACGTGTCTGTCCATTGATTCCCTCGAGACTCCACACCACACGCGCTTGCAAGCGCCTTCACTGGTTGATGACCGGATACTTGGCATTCCGCGGCTTGGCTGGATAACGTCCGACGGAATGCGGTCTTCTCTTGTAGTTGACGAGGTGCTACCTGGTCCAGGCAGCGAGAAAGACCCGGGCGTTGCCAAGATGGCAAAGTCCTCGGCAATCGTCTGCATCAACCGAACCAAATGTGTCTCGTCTCGCTGTCGAAAAAGGACTTGCTTGGAGACAGACCGCCAAAAGCAGCAGCAGCAGCAGGTAAACCGTGCGGAGCTCCTCGCTCTCTCAGCGACCTTATCCGATACCGGTTTTCTGCCAAGACGCTACGGACCCACGGTAGATAGCTGGATGGAGGGATATACCAAGTTAGTAAACCATGCGCGTAAGTAAATAGCGATTGACTACCAAGGCGAGTATGGATGCAATCGGGAGTGACGTGTCGGGACCTTTGGACGGCTGAATACTATAGACCACCACCGCTTTTGTCTTCGACGACATCGAGTCGTTCAGAGTATTGACACAAATGAAGCTACTGACCTCTTTAATCCGGCGACGTATTTCAGGGAACAATGTCGAAATGGTTCAAGTCGATTGATTGTTGTTGTTGTTTATTTACCACGGTACAGTCACAGTACATAGGTGCACTGAGCACACTGCTGGTTGTTAATGCTGTTCTGCTACAACACATACCGCACGGACAGAAGAATCGTGACTTTAGCATTTTACGACCTACTTGGCTTGTTTAAACGTACTCGGATTGGTTGGTCCTGGCCGAGACAGGAACGTTTCAGGATGCGGTGGAGTCTGCATCGCATTAAATGAACACATGGCGGGCGTGCGCGATAGATATTGTCCCGGAGTCACCATACTGTGGCGGCCACTTGTGCCGCCAGTGTCGGCGTCGTCGTGGAAAACGATGAGCTTCGACTGGTTGCCTCGGTGGCCTGAGAACGGGTCGTAAGATGCACCGGATGTGCCAAACATGGCCACACGAGATGGCGGAGGGGGCATCGGAAGATGCTCGGCTGCAAACAGTTCGGCGAGACGATCGTAGTCCACCGAGTGGTGGTTCACCACGCTGCGGCCCAAAGCCAACGAACGGCCATCCAAACATAACTCGGTATCACGGAACCCGCTGTTGGACCGCAAGAAGTACGAGGCCGTACTGAAGTCACTTGTCGTACTGATCTCGTTCGACAGCGCCTCCGCCATCTTCGGTTCCAGGAGCGCCATCCGTGTCGCAATGTTCGCCAATGCAATAGACGGCTGGATCGCCAAAACTCCCTGCGCCTTCATCTCCTTGCTGAACTTGCAGTCCGGCACGAATGCAATCATGCGCGGGTGGGCTGCACCTAGCAACGACTTCAACATTTGCACATTCTCGCGCGTGCGGTCGGAATCACCAGTGAAAATGATCACGTCTGCCGCTGACATGGCCTGCGCATTCTCGCGGTCCTGGAGTGTGTTCTTGTACGAGATGAGGTCTCCCTTTGCAGCACGGTGCAGGATTGCCTCGTTCATCTTTTGCCACTTACTAGTGCGTTCTTGGTCCAAGAGAGGCACGTTGACCCGTGCACCATAGAGTGAGAGTTCGAGAGCAATCTCGAAAGCCACTTCGTCGTCGCCAATAACAACCGCGTTTTGCACCTTGTAAAACGGCAGCAGCGGTTGCGGTTCTTTGTTGCCAGCCGCCATCGTGGTGCCTGACATCCGACGACTAAGTTCAAAGATATTGCTAAATCGGCCTCCCTGAACGCTGCTGAAGCTACGATGAGTGGGGATAATGCTCAACCGTTCATCATTGTTGCCATTGTTGCTACCAACCTCCCAGTTCTCTCCGGGGACATTCTGCTCGATTGTACGATCTCGCAAAGTCTCGCCAGCCCGACTCAAGCCTATCGCACACAAAACGGGACCGATGATCTGGTTCACCACCACAGCTGCAATGATTGTCGCTGAGAATTCCGAGGCCCAGTGGTCGTCACTCATAGCCTGCACCTCGTTGGCCAAACCCAACGCTACGCCGGCCTGCGGAGTCATTGTCAGCCATAGATTGTTGTACTGCATCGGCGTGAGCTTAAGCAGGAACCGACCACCCAAGTAGCAAGCAATGAAGATCGCGACGTAACGCAGCACGACGTACAAACTCATGAGTGGAACGGCTGCCAACACTTGATCCAGCTTTAACGCCGCCCCCGTCATGACAAAGAACGGCAAGAACATGTAAGGCGCAGCAGTGTCGAGGATCACGTGCATGTCGTGGCGAATGGGGTTGTGGTGTCCAGCCACACACGACGCGATCATGAGCACCAGCAGCGCTTCGAGCTTGACTTCCCACGACAATCCAAATTGAGCTGCAGTAGCGTGAGCGAGTAGGGATGAGGAGATGTAGAAGAGGTACCCCATGGTAAGCCAGATAAAGCCTTTCATAGCCAAAGACGTGTTGGGCGACCAGAACGAAGCGGACGCAGCAGTGTCACTGGGCTCAGTGTGCGAAATCGAAGCACACTCGTTGTTGGCCGGGGTCATCTTTTGGCTAGCGGCCCGGTCGTGGAGGGACAAGCCACGTCCCAAGACTTCATGGGGCGTGTCCGCGTCAATGTCCTGCTTGTGTGGCTCCCTTCCCGGGATTTTGAAGATCAGGATCGTGACTCCACCGAGAACCGCACCCACGACGATGTTCGCCATGACAATGCCCATGGTATAGGCTAGATTCAGCATTGAGACCTCGAGCTCAGCACAGTAGATGGAGCACACGATCCGAGAGATCGAAAAGGACACGAGCACGACAAACTCGGCAATCATAGTCGCCCCCAGCATGAGACTTGTGAAGGGACCCACACTGTTCAGCTCAATCTTGATCGCCATGACCGTTGCCGGCGACCCCAGCACGGAGATAGACCCAAACATAAGTGCAATGCCCAATTGGCAATTGAGGACGAGGTCTTTGTAGAAGAAGGAGTTTTCCACGACAAGGATGACCGACGTGAGAATGACCATCGCCGTCACGTACAACGCACCGAGAAGAATCATGATGGACTTGAGTTGAGGTCGCAGATCCGGCCAGTAGATCTCTTGGCCTGCTTGGAACGAAATGAACGACAGCGCCAGTGCACTCACGTAGTTCGAGAGCAAGGCGACGGCTTCCACGGTGATTAAATTCGTAGCGAACGGGCCAGCAATGATGCCGATGACGAGGTACCCCGTGATGAGGGGGAGCTTAAATAGCTTGGGGAAGTAGAGTCCAAGCGGGTGAGCCGCGACGAGCACGACAAGGAAGGCACATCCGTATATCAGCGTATCAATGGCGTTGCTAAACGAGTAGAACGGCACGGTTTTATTGTGATCCGCATGTGCACCACCGCCACCACCACTCAGTCGCCGGCCGACCAGAGGAATGTCTTCACTGTACGTGTCGTAGCCGCTCCGTAGTACTGGCTCAGCTGAAATGACGTGCACGAATGCCACGAGCAGAAGAGAGGCAGCTGCTGCTGAGCACAACCCGTTCGACAAGGCGGAGATCATCCTTCAGTGTGATGTCGACAACTCCACGCTGTGGTTGGTCTCTCGACGTCTCAGGTTGACGGATTTCGGAAAACGTTCGTTCACCTTTGAGGGCAAAAGCCGAAATGAAGATCGAAAAGGCACTATGGGCTGATTCTAATGAGCCATCCAATGCGTTTCGTACCTGTCTCTTATAAGGTCCTCCATTGTCAAATAGGAGGTACCGATGGCAAAGGTAGGAAGTGGATGAGCCTACCAGCGAGCATCTGGTCTCGATGCGCAAGTTTTTCTGGTTTGAATGTGGCAAGAGGGACGACAGTCTCTCCACTAAACGTGTGTGACTCAAAAAGACTCGTAGGTTACCACGAGTTTACACATCGGTTTGGAGCCAAATACGTCAAGGCACACTCTCCGGCGTTCCAGGAGTTCTGGTCGGATTCGGCGCTGCACGTAGATTTGGTACTCGATCTGTGGCGACGGTGTCCTTTTCGCAAGCCATGTCGCACCCTCTAGGTGACTTCACACAGCACGCAAAGGGCTCCTGCAAGTACCACTCGTTGAACTGCGGCCAGACGTATCCATCAAGTCAACACTGCCATCCGTTGTAATTTACGTCAGTTCTGCGAAAGTTGGACACCGAAAAGCGGCGGGTTCAATGACAGGCCATCTGTGCCGAGCGAACTGACTGTCAAGGTCGAAGTGCGCTCGAGCACCAGTCAAAGCTTCCGTGCTCAGTGCTGTCCGTACTTCTGCACGTTGTTTGCTTCTATCATTCTGCATAGCGCATGACACCGAATAGCGTCACAGTAGAGTCCACTCATACGGACGAGTGCGAATGCAAGCCGGCAGAATACCGAGTCAAGGTGGCGACTGCTCCGACCTCGTCTGGAGCGTGCACACGCGCGGCACAATTTTGTAAGCTTGTAGTCAGCAATATCGATCGAGTCTGAACGTGGTCTCTCCGTGCTTTTCAATGGCAGGTACCAGGTTCCTGCTTGTGGCTTTATCGTATGACAGCGGTGTACGTCGTGACGACCAACATGTACGCTCGGAAGCACAGGGAAAAGTCTGATCATGCATAGTCGCCAGGGCATATGACCCGAAGTCAGCATTGTCACATGTAGCTCAGCTTTAACGGAATAAGCTCGCACAACGGCTGTTTCAGGATTCAATCTGGTCAGATTGCAGCGACGTGCTACCCACAACTTCAGGCTGCCGCATTCTTAATGACGCTATGCATGAGCACGTTGCTTCATCTCCCGGTCTTTTAAGCTGCTTCCCTTAATACAATGGGTCTGCAACGGCAGGTTGGCCGCGCTGCGACTAGCAATTTATGCGGGCTTACCCTTTTTCAACAGCACATGAATCCTAACAGCCGACTATGTCTGACAGATATGCATTGGGTACAATGCGTTTCGTCGCATGAGCCGGGTAACGCATTGTGGACCAACACAAATCATGCAAATTATTTGTGCAGAATCGAAGTCCTTGAACAAGGTATGCCTGTGGTTCGATAGCAACGTCTTGAGTCGCGAAAAGGTCTTGGTCATTTCTTAGTCTAAAAACAACGAGCTAAGGCTTGTACAGCACCTAGTCCACTTGAACTACCGCGAACGACCTTTGGATAACTCTTGATAAAGGCCGCAGCATTAACAACAGTGACGTGTACAGATATGAGCCCGCAGCGTGTAAACCGACGCTTTGCACTCCCAATGTGGGCTCTTGAGCAACAATTGCCAAGCGGTAAAACCTCTACAAAGTCGGTTACCCAACCTCCTTACCCTGGGTGGGACATCCCCCGTCATGGGGCCCAGGTAAAGGGAAGAAAGCCTTCTCCCCGCTACGTGCATTACGGAGGCAGCACAGCGTGCGATCCGAAAGGGGAGCAATTGGCAAGACAATTCGAGAAAGAAGCACGCGAGATTGAACGTCCTGCACCCAAATACGAACAAATTTCTGCTCTTCTACATCCGCCTTTAAGTCGCCGGCCATTCGCCGTGCGGGAATCCCGTCCTACAAAGAGAATCCACTAAGAACGTGATGCTGTCTGGCGGGCCCAACTTTGGACGTACATGCTAAGGACAAGTCAAGCTGGCCCCTCGGGTCTGTTCAAAGTGGTCATTGACCTTCTATGTAGGAGCATCCACAACTTCGTTACCAGTCATACCCGTTACACCCGATGCATCGAGCCAGCAGCATGATCCAGCGTGGAGAAGCTCGATGTAGTGATGGATAAAGATTGGGGCGAATCTCCATACAGACATTAAAGAGTAGCCAAAAGATTAGGAATGGACAGTCTGACCCTCTCGCATGATTACCGCCACATCGCACATAGGTCGACAGGGGAGTCGGCGGTGCTTCTTTACGATGGATTGAAACCTACGGTACGACTGCTTGGACCTAACAATACCAGCATAGCAAAGACAGGTAATGTTGATTGCAGACACTACCGCCGTGCATTTATGCTCTGCATATTTGACTTCACTCGCGCGCTTTCTACATTTCAAACACTGTAGTAGAGGAGGAAGATCAGTAAACAGGTACGCTGTCTTCTTTCGCAAAGGATCGTCACCTCTTCATACGATAACTACGTCCGATATGTAACGTATCTCAAAGTGTCTTGATCTGATTCAGACATTAGTATGTTCGAAAATGCTGTCGTGTAGCGTTGACTCGGATGAATCAAGAACATTCATGTACGTTTTGCTGAAGAGCGAAGTTTCGGTTGTGTCCAGATAGATGATGCTAACAGTTTTTTCAATGAGCAGATCAATCGAACGAAGCCAACCCAACAGCGTGTTTATGGTCAGACATGAAGCATTCTTCAACATGAACCATAAGGAGTCGTCGTTGTGCCAAGCGATGAGCTCATTATTGCTCGAAATGTGTCGAGTACGCCAAATGCTTGCTTCGTTCAAAGCCCAATCCATGTGCTAGAGTCGGGGATCTGCTGAATGGTCAATACTAATTCTAGCGCGTACCATACTAATGCCGCTTTAACTATTCCCAGGTCGGGGACATGTCCACTATTTTCAAGCTTCATCCACGTGGGAGTTCGTGAACGTCGGGGAGTCGAGTCTTTGGCTGCCGGCGATTTATACACTCAGTGAATTTGAATGTAATTATAAACTGAGGACATTCTAAAACAGAAACACCGATCACTAACATGCATCGGTTCCTCTCCTCTCTTCGCTCTGATCAGTTCTGTCGAAAACTGGCGACGCGGGCGGTCCGAGCAGACAGACACATCGCATTATGATACTTGATTTGCTCACGATGACCATAATCGGTGCGGTGCTGTAAACTCATGTTGCTGCTGAAGGGCTACAGCCGTCTAATGCATCGAAGAGCTGACGAAGCAGTAAGGTATGAGACCGGTTAATGGCCGGGATTCGAATACCTTGGCTAAAATTAATTACTGGCTTCGCTTTCGATTGTTATGGTTCCGAAGATGATTAAAAGTAAAAGGAGGGAGTTGATAAACTCACTCACACCCCCTATCCTTAACATACCCTTCCTGCCAAACCTGATATTCGTACTCCTTCCGCTTATTTTCATTATTGAGTTCGATTTATAAATATTTGTGATAGTTATATTTACTCGTTATCGTACATTAGAAAAAATAAACGTCAACCACCTCCCAGGTTTTCATCAACCACCCCGACCCCTATATATTACCGTAATTTATTCGATTTAAACCTTTTAATTGGCAAGATTAAGAAATCACCGCTTTCAAAAGTAATTTACAATCTCGTTCACAAATGATAAAATACGAGATCCGAATAATACGCATGTCTGTACGTCGGCGACGTGTGGTACTTTATTATTCAGCAACTTCCTTCACAATACACTAAAACCCGAGCAGCAAGGAGTGACGGCAACCGACGGTGGTGACTCTATTCGACATGAGTAAAGCACACTTCACTTACCTGGTTCTATTGCAAATCGTTCACATTTGAGTGGTGGTGAGTGGCCAACGAAACCTTGTGAATGGTGTAATTCTGCCGACCTACCTCTTGGATACGGATTCGACCGTCTCGCTTGTCGCTTGCAGTATTAAAATTGTTGATGAATTACTGATTCTCGTATCCTACACTAAATCAGCGATTCTGGACGACAAGGATAATGACTTTAATCGCGTAAATTGTAACCACCCATAAAGCTTTTGTGATAATTATGCCGTCCAGTCACATACCAGAGCACCGTCTGAAAGTGTCCTTTTGTGGCAAACCATACAAGAGTCCCGCAGATACTTATGTCCCTTTCCGAATACAATATCATCTTTCATGAAATGTACACTGGGGTTTTGCAATGGCTTCGTCTTGCTCTTCCCTTCTACGTGCTGGAATATCAAGACAAGTGCCGTGGGATATTTAAATGTGAACGATTTGCAATAGAACCAGGTAAGTGAAGTGTACTTTATTCATGTCGAATAGAGTCACCACCGTGCTGCTCGGGTTTTAGTGTATTGTGAAGGAAGTTGCTGAATAATAAAGTACCACACGTCGCCGACGTACAGACATGCGTATTATTCGGATCTCGTATTTTATCATTTGTGAACGAGATTGTAAATTACTTCTGAAAGCGGTGATTTCTTAATCTTGCCAATTAGAAGGTTTAAATCGAGTAAATTACGGTAATATATAGGGGTCGGGGTGGTTGATGAAAACCTGGGAGGTGGTTGACGTTTACCTAATATAACTGATTTTCAACTTTTAGTTATAATGCCATAATGTATAACTTCGTGAACCGGCCCGAAGAAAACACATTCGATTGTCGCCCTGTTCTACGTATGCAACAGCGCTGGCGCGACGCATATGCGTAGATAGAGAAGCAGTCTAGCATTGGGTAAAGTATAAACGTGAAATGAAGATTGTGGCGGTGTTCTATTGCATTAAGTGAAGTTTAACCTGTCGGCTATAATAGACCGAACGCCACAACATTTCTATGTGATGCAAAATGTGTTACGAAGGTGCAATCTCACGTTCAGACGTTAGATGCAAATCAAGACAGAGGAAGAA